TTTGTTAAGCAGGCTTTTCAACATTAAAAGCCTGATATATAAATTCACTAGCATCTTTGAAATCAAGTTTTGGGAATCACATAGTCTGGAAATATTTATCTAAATAATCTTACAAACTTCAGGTTGCAAATTAATATCAATCACACATCTTACCATTTTATATAGATGCATCTATCAAATATTGAATACTTGTATGGCTTATGTGCTTCTAAATGGGCCCATATATATATTTCCAGAGATATAGTGATTCATTCGAAAACAAAACATAACTAGTAATATTTTATAATCAATTTTCTTTGAGAACAAGCAGCACATACGGATTCTTAAAAATGTTGGCTATTCGGAAGAATCTTCTGGTTCTTCAATGGATATCAATACATAATCTTCAATAATTATATAGTTTAAGATGATCAAACAAGTCATGCCAACAATAAATCTAATTATATCAGTAAACTTCTGGTTTACTGTACCATGTTTCGTTACCAATAATATAATATATGATTGACGATTTCTATTTATGAAATTGATATGAAAAATATATCCAATATCAACTCATATTTGTATTTCAACAGTTTTTCCCCTCAAGATTGAGTCATTCAAATATGATTCCTTTATTCATATATTTCATAAACAGCTGCTAGCATATAATGGGTTAAAGCCAATAACCTATCTTTTGCTTGGAAGCCCAAGTACTTCCTGGTTCATATATAGTTACAGATTTTAATCCAATTGTACTATAACATTTACACTCTTTGGAGAACCAAAGTGTGATATAAATCTATGGGTCATATTTTTCATTATCAATACTTTGTTTGCTCATAAAGAAAAATCAGTATTAGTTCTTTTGGAACTGTGCTATTACATCTAGTTCTTCAGGAACTATATAATTTAAGAGGAATATGAAAGATAACTCTATTTCAATATATCATTAACATAATAATAAATAATTATGAGTATCATAGATTTAACTTGCAATAACACATAAAAATAATGAAGAACATTTAAAATGAACTTTTAAAAATAAAGTACAAATAAGACTTAACATTCAAAACTTCTCAATATTGATTAAGGTACAATAGACATTTAAAATATTCAAAACTAATATTGAATCAAATCATATAAATAAGATATAACAAAATATAACTGTAACTTTTGGGTCTATTTGATCTATTTAGTTTTATATCCCACACTTACCAATATCACAATATCAAATTCTTATAACAATTTGTTTCTCACAAATCACAATAAATTTAAAGACTGGTAGAAATTAAACATTATACATATAGCCTTCTAGGCATATACTTATATGTTTTCTATTTTTATATATACTTTGGATATCTATCTTTCTTCACAACTTACTGCCTTCAGGCATTAAAATTAGTTTCGATATTTTCATAATATCACATGGTCTTTTTGATTCCACAACCATTTTTCTTTAACATTTGCTTTTCAATGAACTAATACATATTTGTCTATATGACTTCTGGTCATATTATAACAGTTATTCATAATTTTATTATATTGATCATAGGGCCATTACTAATTCTGCTGGTATGATTCAATAGTCAAGTCCCAAGATTATTGCCCTTTTAGTTATCAGTTCCACTGATACAATGTGATCATACTCTTTATCACTCTTATAGATATATTCTTTGCTTTCAATAGCACACCATCAATTTTCTAAAATATTAGTCTTCCGGACTATAACAAAATTTTCAGAACTGCGAAATTCTTTTGTATGGTTTAATTTTTTTTAAATCATTAATCTTTAGAACTTTGATATACATTATCAAATTGTGACAGTCTTGTCATGCCATCTGTTACTACCACAAGATGGTCTTTTATCAAATAATCATCAAAACGTGATGTGGCTTCTGGCCATCTAATCACAAAATCAAGAATATAATGGCTATTAGCCATTCATTTATATGTTTAACATTTTACTTTCTAAGATAACAATTAACTAATGTTGGAGATGATAATCATATATAATAATGTTATAGATGAACATAAATGTCATAGCAAATCAAGAAGTATAAGGACAATAGGATCATAAAAATATAAGAAAAATAAGAAATAAAAATAAAAATTTTCATATCTCAATACGATAAATAAAATATTCGGCTAGCAATGAATCAATAAGATTAATGTACAAAACCACCATTTCCTCTAAATAAATTAGAGAAATCTTACCAAATTGTTTGGATCAAACTATCTTCATTTAACGAACAAAACTTCAACGTGTATCAACTAGGAGCCATGAATTCTGATGGTAGAGTCTCGTGCTGATAACGTGTTATGAAATGGATCGAAAATAAAATTACAAAAGTAGAATAGAGAAAGATGAAGACAAAAAAATGAGAGAATGATATTGTATTCCTTCACTTGCTTCACTTGCATCACAATACAATGGCATACCTTATTTATAGGCATAGTCTTACACATAAATTACATTTGTACTTAAATAATAGATAGTGGATAATAAACCATATGAATATGAGTGGGGGGAGTTACAAGATTAAAGGCATATTGGAAAGGTAATGGAGTAGTGAAAGATTAATGCCTAGTGGAAGTAGTGGGAGTTGATGATGAAGTTGAGAGGAAGAGGAAGAGGAAGAAGAGGAGATGAACATCCACATATTATAATATTCATAACACACTTGATAATATTTGAAAAGCAAATGACAACACGTTTTTGTAGTCATTCTTAATTTGAGATTTTGAAATTTCAAAAATATTCTTTTGAAGATTTTCCCAATAATTTATAGTCCAACCAACTAGAGTATGTACGAGTCAAATTGATGACATGATAATTAAATAAAACATATTATATGTATATATAAATAATATATGCATAAAAAATTAAAATATCAAAAGTTAAAAGGAGAATTACAATTAAATCCAATTAAAATGCTAGAACTCAAATTAAGGCCTATAGTTTTAAGAAATTATTAATTAGACTAAGATGCTTAGTTAGGAATTTCTGAATGTTGTGAAAAAACTAAAATGCCCGTGAGTCTTATATTTAGGTCTGGAAGACTAATAATTTTTTTTTAAAAAAATGAAAACCTGGCATTATATAATATTTATTTATAAAAATGTTTTATTTATAAAAGTAATTTTGTTCCACATGGTCTTAGATCTGATTTAGGAACTTTCAGAATTCTTGGTCTTCAACGTTATTGTTTTATATTCTATTTTTATTTTAATTTTCCTAATAAAATCTGCTTTAGCAAATCTGCGTTTTCTCTGGTTTCTTATTTTTAAATTTACTGAGCATTAGTTATCTTTACGTTTGCGTGTCTATATTTGTACGCACAGATGCGTCTTCCCGGACAATAACATATTGACAAGAAATTTGTGGGAATAGAGACCTTTTGCTTGATTCCAGGACTACTAAATTAATAATGGTTTGAAGGAGAATTTTTTTTAATTAAAAAATCAGAATCTTATTTTAAAAAAAACAAATTTGTCATTTCTTTCTTAAATAGATCGGCCATAAACATTCTCATCATGTTATATCTTATAATCTCATGGCTAAAAAAAATTATACTATTACTAATTAATATGAACTTATTATTTTTTTAGTATTCTAAATGAATTTTCCTTCGTTTGATTGGATAGATAGAAAAATAAATTGGCCGGAGCAATCACCAATTTGGCGAAAAATGACTTATCTATTACGAAGAATTTACAATTAGCTGGCAAAAACAAAAAGAATTTACAATTAACTCTCCATCAAATATAATCAAAATATAAAAATCAAAATCTTTTTTTTTTTTTGGATAAAGAAAATCAAAATCAAGTCTGCACTTGCTTTCAATATTTATTTTTAACATAAAGAAACAATTTATTCTTTTAACAACATTCAAAAATTTCTAATTAGGCCTCTTAACCTAATTAGGAATTTGTTAAAAGTATAAGCTTAAATTTGAATTTTAATATTTCAAGTGAATTTAATTATGATTCTCCCAAAATTAAATACCTTAAAAATAAACTGAAATGATTCAATTTCATGATGAGTTAATTAGTTCAGATAGTAATACTACAATGTCACGATAATTGAAGATTAAAAGAATATGAGCAACACTTTAGGTGAAAAAAACATAAACATAGATTTATCACTTAATTTTGAATTTTAATAACATAGCTAGGTTTTGATTATTTTAATACTTTGTGACAACAGTTTCAAGATGAGATTACATTTCCTTCTCTGACAATTCACACAAGGCGTGAGAATATTAGTTTTCCTGAATCAAAAGACAAGAATTGTTCCCCACATTAGATCTGGAGGTTATTCATGTACTTGAGAGGTGAACAATTCATATGATCCCCACTCATCTAATCAAACAGTCGCTGGCTTGGCATAAATCAACATCCTAAAGGAGGACTTGAAATCTTTTGACTGACTCTGTGTGTGTGTGTGTAATTCTATAGTGGTATTTGTATGCATTATATTGAGACAAATTATGTCTCGAAACTAACTTCATAAACCGAAGAGGAGAAAGCCACAGATTGAAAACGCATACATGTAAGCCAGAAATAAAACTTAGCAATTACAAGTTCAACACATTCGTATGTCAAAAGTTTCGGAACTGCAGTTTAATCATCCAAACAAACACTGAGACCGAATTACCAAGAGACAGACCTAAAAGCTACAAAGGTTCGTGACTATTGAGAGAGCGACATAGACAAGCTCCTGCGCACATTTGAGTACTCCAAAAGCAAATCTACATCAAAATTTGAGACAGCAATCCCACTCCTTCACACGTGAACCAGAAAATTCATCACATAGAACCCTGCAGTTCTCAGAGGCTGTGGGGTAAGAGGATAATGTTTCAAGCACTACTGGTGGGCACCACTTCCCAATCCTGACAGTCCTCAGAACCCTTGCATTCTTCATAATAAATTTTGCGAATTCAAACTCCCTGTCAGAGAAACTGCTGGCATCGAGAGCGAACTCCTTCAGTTGTGATGAAATACACGGAGGAATACTAAGTATTTGTTCATCGGGGGGTGCAAAACCAACCTACCGAGACAAATATAGAGTTAGAAAACTAACTGAAGAATAGGTGTTATACGTACAAATCAAGTTGAAATCTTCAAACCTCAGAAATTACAAGATTTTGCAGCTTGGGGAAGCTATGAAGATAGTTCACCATCCTGGTCCACATATTGCTGTAACATTCTAGATAGGTTAAGTTGTAAAGTGTTGGAATATCCCCAGCAGGTGACCATGCAGCATGCATGGCACCGGGTATCCACGTAGACTGCATGAGGAAAAGCAAACGCTTGTTAAAAATTTGACATTTGATAGAAACAATTCACCCATGAAATGCCCTTCTTACCCTTAAGCTAAGAAATCTAACATTAGCAAGAGCTTTCCACGGCAGTAGTGAGGGTGGGACACGAGCTGCGACCAAATGGTCAAGCTTTCCTACGTCCAACATTGGACCATAATGCTTCGTATCCAAACTTTTGAAAACTAAGGTCTCAAGAATAGGACATCCAGAAACTAGTACTGCCACGCAATTCAAATCGGCACATCTAACATTATCAAAATACAGAACCGTAAGGCATGGTAAGCTAACTGCGCGAAGAGAATCGAAGGTGATACCATTCAACTTTAAAACCTTCATGGTCTTAGAATTGAACATGTTGGAAGGAAGCTTAGTGTTAAAACTAGACGGGAACCATATTTCTATACTCTCAACTCTGCTCTGGATCAATGCGTTGATCCAAGAGCTAAGCTTCTCATAGGGCACCCTAATTGTCCAACAGGTGAGACTAAAGGTGTTGAGAAATTTCAGATTTCCTAGGAGGAGCACGTCATCAACAAATTGGACAAAGACTTCAAGATCATAAGCATGAAAATCTACATCACGAATAGCAAGGATGGGAAGTGACTGCCAAAACGGCCTCCATCTCTTAGACAAAATACTTGTGGCAACCGCTTCTTTGGTTGGAAGGAAGGATAATATGTGAAGAAGCAGTATGTCTGGCAAATTTTCAATCAAGTCGCTCATCGTTGCTCAGCTTACACTTCAATGTAAATCTGAAACTGTTCAGAAAGTCATCAAATATCATGTAATAAGTATTCTTCTACAGTTGAAGCTATTCGAAAAGCAATATGCAAAAGCAGAACAGTTCATTGAATGCTACACAAAGTGATGGATGTGGCTGAATATTCATGAAACACTATTCATTCAACAGTGTTTTTTGTTCATCAAAGTCAATATGAAACGGTAAGCACAAGCTCTGAACCTAAGCATGCCGCCCCTAAGCATTATAACTTTCTTTATAGCCTCAATGCACAGATCAATCTCCTTATTCTTGGCAGCCAACACCCTACTTTATTATGTAAGACATACAATTACAAATAAGTTTGCCCAAACCAGTATAATTATTTCTCTAGACAAATAAGAACTGTATCAGATGAACAATTGAGGATTCCCTCTGCTTACAGCAAACAATAATCTGATGATTGTGTAAAGATGAACTTTAGTATTGTGCAAATTTAGTAACAAACTTCAGTACTCAGACAATTGCTGTGGACAGAATTTTAAAACGTACACGCAAGCACTGCCCATATAGAGACTACCATTCATTCATAGGCTTAACAATGTAGAGTCACATGACAGGGGATAAATTAACATCGTTGACACTCAGACAAATGGTAAGCAATTCCAAAAAAATATGGTGGTACAAGCGAACGGCTGGCACAAGATAAATAAGTATTACAAAATAAATCTATTGAAACAAAATCAACAAAACAGCAAGGGTATTCGATACTATACTCAAGATTAATTCACTGCTGTACGTATGAGGAAGTAAAAGAACGGACATCCGGGACATTACCTCCAACAACGCTTCTGTTTCCCTCACTGAGGGGCTATTTCCTATTTATCTCACTCTTCTACTCTCTTCCAATTGCTCTGTCTTTACTTAAGCCCTCTATTTCACTCCCTCCCTCTGCCTCTCCGACTCACTCCCTCTTGGAGCTCATTGTAAACCTACAATCCAAACCAACATTGTTAAAGTACTTACAGTATCGGCAACTCTCTTAAAGAAAAGAAAAGAAAAGAAAAGAAAAGAAGAAGAAAACAGCTATAACCAAGAATTAATTCATTGCTATGCGTATGAGGAAGTGAAAGAACGGACATCCGCGACATTACCTCCGACAAAGCTTTCTGTTTCCGTCACGGCGTGGCTATTTCCCATTTGTATCTCCTCTGCTACTTTCTTGAAATCTCCATTTCCAATTGCTCTGCTTCTCTCAAGCCTTCTACGTCGCTCTCTCTCTCTCTGCCTCTCCGACTCACTCCCTCTTGGCGCGCATCGTGAACCTACCATTCAAACATGTATGTGTAACAATAAGTAATAACAAGGATCGGCAATTCTCTTAAAGAAGCAAGAAAACAGCTATAATCAAGAATTACTTTGCTATGAGGAAGTCAAAGAACGGACACCGGCGACATTACCTCCGATGGAGCTTCTATTTCATTCACTGAGTTGTCCTTTATTATTTGCCTCTCCTCTGCTAGTTTCTTGAACTCTCCATTTTCCAATTGCTCTCTCTTCTCTAAAACTCTATGTCCCTCCCGCTCTCTGCCTCTCCGACTTACTCGCTCCAGGCGATCCTCGCAAACCTACAGTGCACACAAAACGTCTAATACTGACAAGTAATAACGGTAATTTTTATCTGGATGAGTATATAATGCTGGCAAAAATAAAGTTATGTAATAATTTCAAGAATCAATAATTAATAATCAAGTCCGGCGAACCAAAAAAAAAAATCAATATCAATATTCCAGGAAAATACTTTAATTTTGAAAGCTTCTTGAATAACAAAAAATATTACTTTAATAATGTTTACTCTCAGAGAATACCGTAAAAATTTAATTATATATTTTAGAAGAAGTGTTACTTAAGTTATGGATTATTAGTTAATAGACAAAAAAATAAAAAATTTAGTTATTAGTTAAACTTATAGACATTAGTATAAATTACATTTTTTAAAATTTTATACATCAAATAACTGAGAAATATTGTTTATGTACGTTTATGATTAAATACATGAACGCATCTCCGTTTAGGCTCTGTTTTGTTATTCCCTTGTGAACCAAAAAAAAAAACATGATTTGTTATTTTAATTAATAATTTCAAATTATGCTTTTATTAATTGCTCTTTTTAATTGCTAAAATAATGAAATTTACTCTCCCATATGTGGTTCAAAATATTAGTTAAATTTAATTAAAGACAATAGATATACAAGATATATACATATTTTTTGAATTATTTCCTTACTTGTAAAGAGAAAGCATGAGAAATAATAAGTGAAAGCTATTGCAAAGAGATAATAAATGGAATATGTTTAATAGATCTAAAAGTGAAAAAACTATTTAAAATTTCAGACAAAAAAATTTATTTCTTATATTTAAGGACATTATTATGAGAAAGTTTGTGTCTTATAAAAAGGAACAGAGAAATTATTAAAATATTTATTAGCCACTAAACTAAAGAAATTTCAGAATTTCAGTTTTATTTATGAAAAATACAAACATAATTTATATATGACAAACTACAACTTTTGGTGTTAAAGTTATATTAATCTTCAACTTTGACTTAGAGACTCTAAACAGTTCGATCCTTTAGGTAAAGTCCAACAACATGTAATTACTAAAATGATGAAATTTACTCCCGTTCCTTATTATAAAAAAATAACTACTCCCTCTACTTTTTATTAGATATATATAGGGCATCAATTAGAAGAAATTTTTGTTTCTAAATATAAGGCATTAACCAACTTATTAATTTTGACTTTTCAATTTTACCCTTGCTAATAAATTAAGGTTTAGTGTTAAAAGTTTTCAAACTCCGTATTTATCTATTTACATCATTAAAGTTGTAGGTAATCTTAGAAAAAAATTATCAATTTAAGACATATTTAAGGTTTTAACTGTAATTCTTTAGCATATAAGAATTAGTTAAGAATGCCCTCTAATAATGACCAAAGAGAGTATTAAAATCACATGATTTAGAATGTTAGTTAAATTTAGTTAAAAACAATAATTATATAAGATATATATATTTTTTCAATTATAACCTTATTTGTAAAGACAGCGCATAAAAGATAATGAGCAAAAATTTATTACAAGGAGATAATAAGTGACATGTATTTAATGGGGTAAAAGACTAGTTTAAATTTTCAAACAAAGAAAACTTGTTTCTTAGAAACACCACTATGAGAGAGATTAACTTTTTTTTAAATAAAAAACGGGATAGAGGGACTAATAAGGTATTTATTAGCCACTAAAACAATGAAATTTCAAAATATCAGTTTTATTTTCAAAAAGGACAAACATAATTCGTATAGAAAAAATATAACTTTTGGTCTTAAATTTTTCTTCAAATGTGAAAGACTCTAAACCAAGGTCTTCATAGCCGAATCGAACTGGTTGGACCATCAACCGGCCATGGCAACAGCTAAGGGTATGTTTGGATTGGCGTTGGGCAAAACTGACTTCTAGCTCAACTGACTTTTGTAACTGAAGTTAGAGTAAAAGTCAGTTAGAGTATGTTTGGATAGATGCTTTTGAAAAGTCAGTTAGAGTATGTTTGGATAGATGCTTTTGAAAAGTCAGTTGAAAAAGCTGAAAGTTGTTTGGATGATGAATGAAAAAGTTAGTTTAGTTGTAAAATGACTAAAAAGGGCATGAACTTTATTAAATAGTAGTTTTTAATTTTTTATTTTTTAATGTGATAATAGGTTAAAAAAACATATAAAATTATTATGATAAAATATAAATAGTTTAATTGTGAAATTATGAAATAAAAATATTTGTTATGAAGAAAAAGTTGAAAACACATTGTAGATAATTAATTAAATATACATAATAGACAAACATGAATATAAATTAAAATTTATTTGGTCTAAATAAAAACTTATTATGCTAACGAAGGAGATGAGGCAGAGAGAAAAATGTGAGGGTAAATCTGGAATGCTCATTTTTAGTAATCACCGTTTGAAACTATAGTTTGAAAAGTTAGATTTTTCTCCGTTGAGTCTAACTGAGGTTGAAAGCCAGAAGTTGGTTGGAAAAGTTAGCCCAGCCAAACAACAGTTTTGGTCCAACTCAGTTTGCAACCTCAGTTTCACAGATTCCAAGGCATAACTACAGTTTGGAACTGCAATCCAAACATAGCCTAAGTCAAGTGTATTGGGCAGTCACATTCTACAAGCTATTTTGGATAAGAATTAAGCCATCAATGGGCCGCTACTCATTATTGGGCCGAGAACCACAATGGTCTTTTAAAAACCAAATGGTTCTGGAACAAGCCTTGTAGACGAAAAAACCAAAAACAAAAAAAAAACAATTTAAAATAGAACACAGCCCAGCCCAGCCCACCCAAAACAAAGATAAAACAAGATATGGAATAAAAAATGAACAAAAATCATGTTTTGATAGCACCTAACCCCTCAACCTTCGCAGTGTCTTTGTTGCCGTCTTCCTCCGTGTGCAACCAGCTACATCGTGCTCCGTCGTCCTCTATCTGATGTGTGCCATTGTTCTCTGTCGTACTTTGGCATCTGCATAGTTTTTTTTTGCTTTTTTGCTTGAGTCTGCTTTTCTCCCTCATCCTCACCCTTGAGCACCTCCAAAGATTCAAAGTTAGAGAGGCTTGAAGTCTTGAAGTCAAAGGTGATCAAAAATTCAAAGTCATTAAAGCCTAACCCCTTGGCTTCCATATAGCTATCGTAAATGATTATGTGCTCATTTGTAGTTATATGAAGTTATTATTTTTATATTCTTTGGAACTCTTATGAGGTGATTTGGGGTGGTATCTCTATGCTCTATTTCATGTTCCCCTCAAGTTTCTCTTCACATGGAGTGTGTTGATTGAAAACTGAAGCTTTCTTCTTGTGGTTAACATTATTGTATGTTTTGAACTTCAAATTTTGGTGTTTACTATAAATTTGAAATTGAGACCAGTTAGATTTTGTTTCCTGTTAAGCTTTCTCTATGCTCTGTTTCTTGTTTGATTGTAAGAGAGATATAGCTAATGCCACGTTGCTCTTTATTTAACCAGTGACAAGTCTAGCTAATGCCGATGCTACTACTATAAGTCTTACTATGTGTTAATTATGTTCAATTGTATTAACCATTGAACCTGGTCTTTCTCAAGAGTCTTCTGAGCACAGTAGACTAGGTTTTTATGGAGGAATATTTAGTTGAATTTAGTTCCATTGACTACTTATTAGGATTAAAAAAATGTTGGCATAGTTGGGATCTCCATTCTGAGCCCTTGATAGTTGAATGGTAGTTATTAATTACTTATCGACACACGTCGATAACCATTCAATCCAGTTCTTAACCTATATAAAAAGAGTGATGAAAATAAATTGGCTAGTCATCTTTAAAACTTCATATACAAAGGCCTTATAGTGTGGTTTAAGTGTGAGAAGAAAAGTTAACATAGAGGTTCTCTAAGTCCCGGAGAGTTTTGGGTTTATTTGTTCGTCGTTCTTTATAGGATTTACTATCTCATTTGTTGATTAATAAAACTTTTGTTATCCTTTTATATATTCGTCTACTCAACAAAAATTAAACTTGACTTACGAGTATGTGTTGCCCAATAATTGGCTGAAGTGTGTAAAACTTAAAAATTGATCTAAAATACACAGATATCCGGATAAAAGTTTTACTATGCTGCTCCGTACAGGAATGATTTTGCCATTGCACCTCTTTATATAAAACCAATAAATTTTCTCTTTATGTAGAAACTAGCGGGGTATGTTCTTGTTTCTTGTTTGCTGTCAAAGGTGTGATTGTCATGGCACAAGTTGGAGAATTTTTTGTCCTTATCTGACTAGTATTTGAAAGTTGTTACAATAAGATTTTTAAAATAAATCTTGACATCAATGTTTGTTTGCTATTTGATTAAATTGAAAAAATATGGACAATGAAATTTTTGAAATAAATCTTGACAAATAATATTTTTTCCCATATCTTTAAACTTGCCTATTGCTTGATTAATGGATAAATTAGAAAATGTCATCTCAACCCGAGCAAGTTGCTTGATTAATGGATAAATTAGAAAATGTCATCTCAACCCGAGCAAGCATTAACTACTGCCCCCTCTACCAAGCATTAACTGCTGCCCCCTCTACCCAACTAATTAGGTCAAAGACTGATCCTGTATGGGAGCATTGTGCTCAAGTGCCTAACAAAAACTCAAATGGAAAACTGCGCTTAAGGGTGTGTTTGGGATCACATTTGGAGTCCCAAATTGACTTCTCTGTCGGCAAAAAGAGCTTTTTTGATTTGGGATGTGTTTGGAATCACATTTTACAATTTAACTTTTTTGTGCAAATGAGCTTTTAGGAAGAAGCTCTTTTTTATTGCTTTTACCAGTAAGTCCAAGAAAAGCTTTTAGAGTATATTCATCTTGGATGTCTGTATGTTTTTTTTTTTTTGGTTGGGAAGTCAAAAAATGAGAAGAAGAGGTGCAGCGTTTGCCACTATTTTTTTTATATATATTTATCCACTAAATATATATAATTAAGTATTTTTAGTATTTTTTAATTTCTTCCTAACAATAAATTAAATTTCTTTATTTTTAATAATTTTATTTTTAGTACTTCTTTTAAAATGGTCACATTATACATATAATATTAGATATGTATTACTTAATAAAATTTTTGTTCTTTTAAGTCATTTTACATCTAAATTTACTTTTCTATTAATCATTCAAGCAAGTTTCAACTTCTCAAGTTTTTCAAACTGACTTTTTTTTACAAAATACAATCTAAACACAAATCACATTATATTATCTGACTTTTACCCAATCTGACTTCTGTAAAAGTCAAATTGAAAAAAAAAATTACTTTTACCACCGCTAATCCAAACACATCATAAGATGTATGAATTGTGGAAAAGAATTTGGAGGTGGAGGGATACATAAAATGAAACAACACCTTGCTAGAATAAAAAGGGATATTATAAGCAGTAAAAAAGTTTTAGGTGATGTTTGCTTTCATTTGTAAGAAAATTTAAAAGAAATTGAAGAGAAAAAAGGTAAAAAACAAGATACATATGAGGAGGACAATCCATATGGCCTTAGTGTCACACCATTTGAAGGGGATACTCCAAATTTGCAAGAGATTCCTCCTCCACAAACTCAAATTTCAACAAATCCATTTCAATAAAACATTCAAACTTGCCATGAACCTTTGTGTTTGCATCCAGATAATTTATTCTCTTGAATCATCTGGGAAGGTTAACAGGTAGGGAAGAGCTGGCACTACAAAAAAACAGACTTTAGGTGACGACTTTCGACGGTGACAAAAAAAGTCGTTGCTGAAAGTCCACTTTCAGTGGCGACACCAAAAAGTCGCCGCTGAAACTAAGACTTTCAACGGCGACGAAAATGTCGCCGCTGAAAGTTTACTATTGAAACCAAGACTTTCAGCGGCGACAAAAGTGTCGCCGCTAAAAGTGGACCTTCAACGGCGACTTTTTTTGTCGCCGCCGAAAGTGGACTTTTAGCGGTGAATTTTTTTGTCACTGCTGAAAGTTTGCTATTGAAACCAAGACTTTCAGCGGCGACAAAAGTGTCGCCGCTGAAAGTATAATATAATAATATATATATTTTATTTTACAATATTAATAAACAAATTCAATATGGCTCAGCGGCAAGAAGATTGGACATGAAAGGAGGCGGTCACGAGTTCGAACCTGGAAGAAGACACATTTAAGGTGAAAATATTTGGACGATGATGTGGCGAGGAGGAGTGATGTGGCAATGACGTGGAGGTGGCTAGTGATGACGTGGCGGTCAGCGGTGATGATGTGGCCACCGATGGCGATGACATGGCGGTCGACGGTGATGACGTGGCGGCCAGCGACGATGACGTGGCATTGGCGATGATGACATGGCATTGGTAAAGCCAATTCTTCTTAGGCATTACTTTCAGCGGCGACAAAAAAGTCGCCGCAGAAAACACTGTTGCCGCTGAAAGCTGAAAGACACTTTTGGCGGCAACGTTCTTGTCGTCGCTAAAAGACTTTTATCGCCGCTGAAAGTCAATTTTTTTGTAGTGTGGCCTAGATAAACAAAGCTCTGATAACAAAACTACTGGTAGCCTCAAATGAAAGTAGTATTATATGGTGTAGGTCAAAGCCTGGTAAGGTTGAATTGGGATGTTCTCCATTCACACTAGAGAATATTTGCCCCATATGGGGGAGCTTGAAGTTGGTGGAGGAATTTGTGATTCTTGGCAAAACTCTTGGTTCTATGGGTACTTTGAGTGGATTCCAAGAAGTAGTAATCTAGATTCTCATTTGCTTAGGCAGCTCTTATTGGTAAGTGCTGGAAACTGCAATTTACAACACAGATTAATTGGGAATATTTTTGTTGAATCTCACAACGTCGTTTGGAGGTAGTATAAACAATTGCCTTGAAACGAATCAAATTCAAAAGGGAAAAGAAAATTAAACCCAACCAGATATGCACCGGCAAAAAGCGAAACAGATAACAATTAGTAGTTTACGGCCTTAAAATCTCCGCATGTCGAAACTCACTCGAACAAAAGCCTGCAATTCACGGAGCTTTTAGGACAAGAGGATAATCTTTGAAGCATTTCTTGTGTTGAATTTTCTGTTAATGTAACACGTCCACGAATTGAGATGATGTTCAAGAAGCTTGCATTCTTCATTATAAATCTTGCAAGCTCCAATTCATCGTAAAGGCCTCTGTAGTTTCCAAGATGGAATTCCTTCAAGTGTGATGAAACACATTCAGGAACGCTTTCTCCCAACCATTCTGTATCATTAAACTGAACCAAATAACGTAGTATAAAAGTTAGGAGTTCAACTAACTAGCTAACCAAATGGCAATCCACAAACATAAATTAAGTTTCAAAACAACAAATTCAAACCTCAATAATTATAAGAGTTTCAAGCTTGGGGAAGTTTTGCAAGCATTCCAATATTGTTATGCGTGAGAAATCTGGTGAATAATATCTTATTTCCATGTGGATTAAATTATAAAATGTGGCAGGATGAAGGCGATTTGAAAAACCAATCTGCAAGAGAGGGAGACAGCAACAAGATAAACAAATTGAAATATCAAATCTAAGAATGAAAAGCAATAATGTTTTTGAATTTATTTACTTATCGACATCTAGTCTTTAATATAAGATTTAGTTGTTGAAGTTAAATCTGATTCCAGAATAAGACATCAACTCAACTTTTTGTCTCTCAAATTTATAATTCATTCTCTAAAATATACTTATTAATAATATATACTACCTCCGGTCCTAATTATAAGACCCAGTTGATTAATTTGAGGAGATTAAGGAAATAAGTTAAGTTAGTTATTTGTAACAAATAAGTATTGTCATTCCTAAAATATCCTTGCTAATTAAGTGTGTTGGTTAGAACTATCATTATTAGAAGGACTATCTTGGAAAAAAATACATAAATATGAGAGACAAAATAGATTGGGGTCTTATAATTAGGACCAAACTAAAAGTCAAACGAGGTCTTATATTAAGGACCGGAGGTAGTATTAAGGAGTTTCCACCCAAATGTAGTTATGACTAAAAATACACTTTAAGGTATTCAACTCATTTGTGACAAATAACTAACTAAACTAACTTTCTTATTCTATCCAAATTAGTTAAAGTAGCTTCCATATTAAATATCAAAATTAAAGTAGTAATATCATACCGTATCAATCCGTAGTGCTGTTACATTTGACAAAGTTTCCAAAGTAAATGGATAGTCATAAACATCAGCTGAAACCAAATTTTTAAGCCTCCCTTTATTTATTGGTACAACCGAATACCCACCAAGATCAGTTGCGCCGCAGAATTTTAGTGCCAAGTCTTGAAGCAAAGGGCAGCCTAAAGAAGATTGTAAATGAATTTGATATTTGGAAATATAACCTTGCTCAAGTGCAAGACTTCAAGTGAAGGCAGACGAATAAAAGAAGGAGCCGCCACTTTAACTCCACTTAGCTTTAAAATGCTGATAGTATTGCAGTTGAAAATGCGAGGCGGTATTTCAATGTTGAACTTGTTAAGAGTTTTATCATAAATCTCAACATGTTCAACTTTGGAATCTAGTACTGCTGTGTTAATCCAAGTGTTAATCTTCATGCGTGGCACGTTCCCATTTGTAGATCTGAGAATGAGATGAAACTTTCTTAGGGTTTCTGAATGATCTCTCATGCTCATGATCGTATCTGCGTACTGAAGAAAAGAGTGAAGGCTATGGAAATTGAAGTCGTCCAGGTCAAGAATGGGCAGTGACCACCGGAGATGGCTCCACCTCTTGGAGGAGAGGCATGTGGTGATGGCTTGTTTGGTTGGAAGAAAAGACAGAATATGGTCAAACAACGAGTCAGGTAACTCACTAATTTGATCACTTGCCATTACTTCAATTCCAATCTGCTTTCGTTACGTTTGACATTTGTTTTGAAATAACCACCTTAGCCTGCTCTGAAGGAAAAGAGAATGAAAATATGAAGATTATTAGATTAGGGTTACGAGGTGCAATAACAAATACACACACATAGAATTTCAAATAATGACAATGATCTTCAAAAACGAAGAAAACCCAGATAAAGTCAAATGGTCACAGGAAATCCACAAATATCTTTGATATATAATTGTCAAAAGGAAATCATGGTGGAAGCTTATTTTACGTTTGAGCTACATAGGATGTGAATATGATGATAAAAGCAAGGCTATTATAATTGTGCTCCAAATTGTTAGAAATAATGCAAGTCTTAAAAATGGTAATGAATGTGTGTGTGTGTGTGTAATTGGCAAAGAAATAGAAATTTCTAAAGTGGCTGTTTGTAAATAAAGAGTGAGAGAAAGGATTTTACTGGGTCAGGAGTCGCTTAGAGACTTGAAGGAACGAGAGATAATTGAAAAGGGAGCCCTTGTATTCCCAAAATATCCTCAAACATCCATCAATCATCCATCAATAAAACTATATATCGTGGATTATCCTTTTATTATCTCAGTCTATCAATGAGAAAATATATATTATATGGATTTAATCTCATTTAAATTTTTATCCTCATACCCATAGTATCAAATAATTGGATCGCTACAGAAAAGGATAACGATCGGATTAAATGCTAATTTAATATTAAAAAATGATTATAATTTAACAATATTAAATATATATATGTTTTATATTTAATTCTTTTGGCCGACATATTTCATGTTTAAATTATTCGGATAATATAAATCGAATTTTTTCTTGTTATTTAATTAATATTATATTGAATCCGAGAAAATCTCTTCATACACGAAAAAAAAATAAAAGTCACACCCTTAAAAGTGGGAAGAAATTAAAAAGAGAGCGACGCAATTAATTGGATTCTGCTACTAAAGGAATATTTAGGAATATATAAAAATATTTTTAAGAAATATTTTTCGTAAAGTGAGGTAAATTCCACCCACCTCACAAAAACATTAATCTAGGAACTTGTTTGGGTGTTTTGGGGAATACTCTGAAAATTATTATAAATTATTGTGGTGAATTTCAAAATCTCGATTTAAATTTTTTGTATCATTTTAAAATTTTTAAATCTAATGAAATTATACAAATGTCATTCACTTTTTTTTTCCCTAGCCGTTTTCGGTGACATGTCACCACTCATCAGAACTCCGATAATTACTTTTTTTTAGTATTAATTATTCTTTTTAAGTTATTGATTCTATTTGTTTTTAGAATTTTGATGACTATTTTTATTTAGTTACTGACCACTCTAGGATTGCGATTGATTGCTTTTATTTTTAAAAATTTAGTGACTATTCTTATTTAGTTATTGATTATTCTATTTTTGTTACTAACTACTTTTATTTCAAAATTTCAAAAAATTTACCATGTGCTGTGAGAGATTTAGTAATCACTTTTTGTTTTGTTACTTGCAATTATTGTGTAATCAATAGTTATAGAAAAATAATTACTAGAACTTCAAAACAAAAATAGTCAACATTTAAATTAGAATAGTTAAAACTATATGAAAGTAGTCACAAGAAATAAGACTAATATTGCTATTTCATAATATTTTAAAATTCCAAAATCATGCGGAGATTTAAGATTTAAATTTTACTCACCTTAATTTGTTTTTTTTTTAATTTTTAATTTATTTTAATATCTTTTTTTTCTTGTATTTGTTTATAGGGGTGTTCAACTGTATTCCGTTCCAACGTCCTATTCTTATCCTAGTTATTTTGGGATGGGACAATCCCATCCCGAAAGTTTTTGGAACAGGACAAGAGCGGGACAAGACAAAATTATTTTGGGACAGAACATAACACAGCACAAGGGTGTCCCGTTCTAATATATTATCTTTATTTTTAGTTGTTATAAATTTATTTTATTTATCATAGTAATTGTATTTTGGTAATGATATTTATCAATTGTTATTTTTTATTTGTTTATAAGTTATTTTTGTGTGGGTTACATGATATTTTTTATAGTGAATATTTTAGGTTTGTTTATTTTTTGTCTCTCCTGGTTACAAAAAGTATTTTTCTTTGTCATTGTTTTCTCATTTTATCTATTTTTCTCACATAGTTTTTATTATAAGTTTTTACATTTCTTGTGTATAGTTAGTTTTCAAATTAAAAAAATTAAAAAAAGATATGAGATGATTGGGATGGGACAAGGGACGAAAAAACCGTCTTGTTCCAATTATCGGGATGAGACTAGGACGAAGTCGTCTCTGTCCCGTCCCGTCCCGTCCCATGAACATCCCTATTTGTTTATACATTTAATTAAGAAGTTAACAATACGATGCGAATTGAGATGATTAGTAATTTTATTTTCATTAAAAAAATAAATTTAAATCCTTAAAAATACATTTACCGACAAGATTTACTTTAACATTTCTAATCTTACAAAGATAAGTGTTCAAGCGACAATGATTTTTGTCCTTTCAGTTGGAGATGAATAATCATCAGGAAGGAGTTTCAGTGTTCATTATTTTAATAAGTATTTTAAACTCATCAAATCTGAATTATCTATATCTTATCTGAATAGTTTGGATTTGATTTTTTTTATTTAAAATAATTATTTTAATATGTATAGAATCTAAAATAAAACTAATCTCTTAACTATTACTTTTTTAAAAAATAAATTTTTATTTAAAAATAATTAATTAAAAATTTTGAATCTAAATTATTTAAATATGATATAGATAATCTAAACTTGATAAGTTTAAAAAATTTAAAGTGCTTGATGAGTACTGAATCTGCTCCGTAAACGTCAAGACGTCAAATAAAATGGCAGGAGCTACTTGGTGGGAAGTAGGTCAGCCATTTGACCAAGGCAGTCACAGGTATCTCACCTCACCTCACGCGAAGCCCCATGCAGGCTATAGTTATCCTTAATTTCTGTGACTATTCGGATCAGGCCAAGCCTATCTATTTTCATTGTGCGAGAGTCCTTGGAATAGCTTTTCAGAGATAATTTTAAAACATTTAAAATAAACATGTAAATCATCCAATACAAATTTCTTATATGGCCTGTTTGGGAGGATTTAAAAATTTTTCTATAAACATGTTTCATGATAAAACTTTTTTCATATACTTACTTTGTATTCTGTAAATTACTATTAAAAAGTTATTTATAAACTACTTATAAGCTGTTCCAAACAGACCTATAATCAGTTAAAATAAGTCCAAGTACTCGTTACAGAAGTACTTTGATGTTTACCAAATAAATTTGCAATATTTTTTAAATATTTTAGTGTGCTGCACAAATAATTATTGAGTGGTAGCATAAAATATTTTAAAATATTAAATGTATCTTATTCTAATTATTTTACTCGCTTAATTTATTTTTGTTATTTTTCTATTGAAACACAAATATTTTGTGATTTTATAGGGGAAAAGTTATAGGGAAAATGACTACAAAATACTATATGAATTTCAAAAAGACAAAGAAGGCAGCCAAATAAACAAAATAACAAAGAAGACATCAGATACTAATTTGGAATTTTGATTTTTCGCCTAAAGACCGAATTGCCCTTATTATGTTTGAAAACTAATGAGATGGAGAAAGGTAGAAACTGCCTCCTCCTGGTGAAAGCAATCCCTCCACTTGGCGAAACCAAATCCTCCCACTCGGCAAAACTGAATCCCCCTACTCAACGAAACCAATCCCTCCACTCAGCTAGCGAAACCAAATCCCCCACTCAGAGAAACCAATTCCTCCCACTTGGCGAAACTAAATCCAAGCTCCTTCGGTCACCGAAAAAGGTTCTTCGAAATCGCATTGCCGCCGTCGCAGGAGTAAAGTGCTGTCAATGAAATTGGTAACCGTCGTAGGAGTAGAGTGCAGTTATTTGAATATATGTAATGTATCTGCTGTCATATGGCTACTAGTTTTTGGTAAATACTATTACGTGAATGGTACATTTCCTTACACATGTAGTTAGTATGAAAGTTAATCGTTCAATGTTTACTTTGATGTATTTCAGACGTAGTCATTTGAATATATGTAATTATCTGCTGTTATATAACTGCTGATTTTTGGCAAATACTGTTTCGTGAATGGTGCATTCCATTACACAAAGTAATCATTCTTACTATGAAAGTTGTAAATACCACTATGTGTTTTGTAAAATTCAGCGTGAAATTGTATTGTTTTTTATATAAAAGTTACCCAGCCACTCACAAAAGGTTGCAAAACCTATTGAAGAAGTAGTAAATCTTATTGTGAAAGTTGTTATTCCCAATATGTATTTTGTAAAATTTAGTGTGGAATTGTTTTGTTTTTGACAAAAACGTTGCACAGCCCCTCACAAAAGGTTGCAAAACCTATTGAAGAAGTAGTAAATCTCACTGTGAAAGTTGTTATTCCCACTATGTGTTTTGTAAAATTCAGCATGGAATTGTTTTGTTTTTCACAGAAAAGTTGCCCAGCCCCTCATAAAAGGTTGCAAAACCTATCGAAGAAGTAGTAAATCTTACTGTGAAAGTTGTTATTCCCACTATGTGTTTTGTAAAATTCAGCATGAAATTGTTTTATTTTTAACAGAAACATTAGCCAGCCCCTCACAAAAGGTTACAAACCCCATTGAAAATGTAGTAATACTCACTGTGAAAGTTGTAAATCCCATTATTTATTTTGTCAAATTCAGTGTGGAATTATATTTTTGTAAAGAAAAGATGCCCTGCCCCTCAAAACAGGTTGTCAAACCCCTTAAAGAAGTGGTCAAATTCACTTCACGAGTTATAAATCTCGTTACACATGTAGTAACATTCTAGGCAAATGATTTAACAATACTTAAAAATCAGGCAGCTTTACATTTCCTAAAAACAATTTGCAAATCACTTTACATACAAATCCCCTTACAAATCAGAGAACCTTTTTCGGTGACTAGAGGAGCTTAGATTTAGTTTCG